CAGGTGTGCGGGGCGGGGGCGGGCGGAGGGGGCGATCCGCCGCAGGTAGGGACGTCCGGGAAAGGGCCGTCCCGCTGGCCGTCCCCGGAAGCTTGGAGGCCGGGCTGTCATCCTGCTGGGGTGGCTGGCCTGGGGGGGAACCGCGGGGTCCAGCCCGGCTCCTTTTGTGTTTTATTTCCTACCGGGTCTTGACAGTTCAGCAACTTGGAAGGTGGGGGGGTGGGGGGGGGTTGAAACGAGACTGTGCAGTTCATTCATTCCTAAGACCCCCCCCCCCAGCGTGAGGGATGAATCGCTTTTCCTCCGTGTGAGTGGATGGCCCACGGAGTGAGGAGGACAGATCGGTGCAGGTAACGACACTGCAAGACGGTGGTGTATCTCAGTTAAGTTCTGGGCAGTGGAGCCAAGTCAGCATTGACTGGGTGTTCCGTGTTTGTCCTTACTGAAGAGTGTACTACTGTTCCCGCGGCATTTTGAGGCTGAGAATAACTTGCTGGGATAGCTTGGCTTTCCCTTCTAGCCCAGGTTTGTGGAAGAGAAGCACACGAATATACTGAGGTGGTGGTGTCCTGGGGGGTGGGAGAAAAGCAAATGAGACTCCCAAGGCTTTGTCCTAGAGTTACCCTTGCTAATTTCCTGTGACATCCCGAATTAGTGAAGTTACTTGATCTCTGTGAGTACAGACGGAATGGTAGTCTCCTTGTGAATTTCATAAGGTTGCTCTGAGACTCAAATGATCTGTGACTCCAAAGTGCTGTACATGATAAAGTCTCCCCCCCCACACTTTTCCTGAAGATGCTAGTATAATTTAAAATTGCCATGTATATAAAGATGAATAAAGTTGGGTGCTGGTGGCTCATGCCTGTAATCCTAGCTACTTAGGAAACTAGATTTGAGGATTTCTATTAAAGCCAGCCTGAGCAGGAAAGTCCCTAATAGTCTTATCTCTAGTTAGCCAGCAAAAAGCTGGAAATGGAGCGGTGGCTCAATGGTAGAACACCAGCTTTGAATTAAAAACAAAAGCAAACACAAAAAAACAACAATCTCAGGGCCAGTGCCTAGGCCCTGAGTTCAAGCCCCAGGACCAGCTCAAAAAGAAGGGGAATGAACAGAATGAAAACAAATATTAAAACAAATGCATATATTTTCAAATATAAAATTTATGACAAATACATGTATACAAATAAACATGTAAATAGAAGCCTTAAAGTCAAAGCACTTGTAGACAAGCCATTGTAACAGACCTTAGCTGTTTTACAGGTCTTCTTTTCAGATAGGATATGACTCTTGACCTTGTTGGTATCATGTAGAAAAAGTTCTACTTGGGGAAAGCTCTGTTGCTTGATCTAAAAATAGCAGTGGGGCTCCTCCACATGCAAAACCCGGTGCAAATTTCTTGGATTCTTTTATCGGTTATGGGGCTTGAACTCTGGGCATGGGCGCTGTCGCTGAGCTCTTCAGCTCAAGGCTAGTGCTCTACTACCATTTGAGCCACAGCACCATTTCCGGTTTTCTGAGTAGTTGATTGGAGGTAAGAGTCTCACAGCCTTTCCTGCCCAGGCTGGCTTTGAATCTCGATCCTCAAATCTCAACCTTCTGAGTAGCTAAGATTATCAGCGTGAGCCACTGGCACCCAGCTTTCTTGGATTCTTTAACATTTTTCATTTCTAATTTGTTGAGTTCCTGTGAAACATAGACTTAGAAGGTAATTTGCTTGTGAAAATTGTGCACCATCTAAGTAGAAGAAGTTGCTTCATGTTGAAAAGTTGATGTCATTGCTGAGTGTAGTAAACATACCTGTAACCTCAGCATTTGGGAGGCTAAGGCAGGAGGATTGGGAGTTTGAGGTCAGCTTGGGCTACCTAGTGACTAGGGTGTAACAAGATAATATTTACAAACACTTTTCTGTTAAAATTTGTTAGAGGTACTAATGAGGACACTGTGATCAAGCTTGTGTGACAATTCAGTTATGAGGACATGGTAAGAACATGGAATCATTGGAGTTTGTAGGAAAGTACAGACACTTTTTGTAAAAACACTCAGGCTTTATTAATATGGTAGGGTTTGCGGGTACTCCATGATGGTTCTGTAGATGTGTTTCTGGTACCACTGTTAGATCTGAAGTTGGACATACCCAGCAATCGTACAACCACCTCCTATGGTCAGTTGGTAAGATCTGTCATTGAGTCAGGTGTCTCAATTTCTTCTCAATTTTTCCACTGATATTAATCACCTTGTAAACTTACAAGCAACCTAGAAGAAACTGATCAGTAGACCTTTTGTTCAGAAGTTCTTTTGCTTTACTCTGAGAATGATTATCCCTAACACAGAGTTCCCATTGCTCTCAGGATATCATACAGTACAGTACCTCCTCTTAGTTTGGCCTTACTCTCTTGCTCATAGGCTGTGTTTGTTTCTTTTCCCTCTTCAGAATGTCATCTGCAGTCACAGCTGTTGTTTCAGTCCCAGTTAGAGACCTTCATCAAGTCACTGTTTTCCTCAGCCTCTCAGAAGAGTGTTGTTCCTTGTGCTTCTCACATCCCTCATTTCAGAAGGGCTTTCTCCCACTCTCCTTCCTCTGCTCCTAGTATCTGGCCACCTTGTCTTTGGAAAGAAGCAGAAGGAAACTACAAGGGACATTTTTGTAACACTATAACTGAAGTAAGCCTTTCTCAGTCATTCTGTCACACCATCCTGTTTATTTTCAGGCTTGGTGTATTTGCAGGATTTCTAGGTTGGTGTTAGTAAATTTGGAAGGAGTGAGGTATATCTGCATAGGTGAGCACACACCCTCTGAAAGTATTACCTATCCTGGGAGAGGCAGTGGCAGCACCTGCTTGTGTGGCAATGAGTCTGTAGCATTACTAGCACACCCTTTGAGGTAGATGTAAGGCTGGGATGCTTTCTAAGCAGCCAGGGGACGTCTCTTCATTGTAAAATTGGAGTGGAATGGAATGTAAATACGACGATAACCCCTTCTACTTGATCCGGAACCGCTCCTGACCTCACAGTTTGTAACACAAGGCATTCTTCTAGGGGCAGGTAGTGCTCCCAGACCAACAATTAGAAGTCCTTTTAGGACTGGGAGTGTGGCTTAGGCAGTAGAACACTTCCTAGCTGGAGAGCAGAGTTCAGTCCCCTTTACCACACAAACAAGCTACCAAGTCTTTTTTTTTTTTTTTTGTATTTCTTTAATACTTTCACTTTACAATGGAGGAAGGCAAAATTTAGAAATTTAACTCCCTGGGCTGGGAATGTGGCTTAGTGGTAACGTGCTTGCCTAGTATGTATGAAGCCCTGGGTTCAATTCCTTAGCCTACATAAACAGGAAAAGCTGGAGGTGGTGCTTTGTGCTTTTGCTTGAAGCAAAAGAAGCTCAGGGACAGTGCCCAGACCCTGAGTTCAAGCCCCAGGACTGGCAAAAAAGGAAAAAGAAATATTAACTCCCCTGCTAATAAGTGACCAAGCAAAGGTAAAAATGGACATCTAAGTCCATGCTTTTAGCTACTTCTCATTCTTAGTTTTGAAATTGAGTATGATTTAGAAAACATATATTATGATGAGTTGTCCTAGGTAGTTAGTAGGTAGGGCTTTTTGTGTGTGTGTGTGTGTGTGTGTGTGTGTGTGTGTATGTATATGTGTGTGTGCTAGTATTGGGGCTTGAACTCTGTCAGGGTACTTAGGTTCTTGCTTAACTTTCTGGCTCAAGGCTGATGCTCTACCACTTGCTGGCTTTTTGCTAGTTAGTTGGATATAGATTATCTCACAGATGCCTGCTCAGACTTCAAATCTTTATCCTCAGATCTCACTCAGATCTTGGCTTCCTGAGTACCTGAGTAGGATTATAGGCATGAGCCACCCTGGTGCCTGACAAACAGTTGTTTTCTTCTTTCTTTCTTTCTTTCTTTCTTTCTCTCTCTATCTCTTTCTTTTTTGTAACATTAAAAAGTTGAGAAGAAGCTGGATGTCAGTGGATCATGCCTGTAATCCTAACTGCTCAAGAAGCTGAGATCTGAGGATCACAGTTTGAAGCCATCCAGGGCAGAAAGTCTGTGAGACTCTCTAATCAACTACTCAGAAAAAGCTGGAAGTCATTCTGAGGCTCAGGTAGTAAAGTGCTAGCCTTGAGCAGCACAAAGAGGCTCAGGGATAGTTCCCAGTCCCTGAGTTCAAGCTCCAGGACAGGCAAAAAAAAAGAAAAGAAAAAAAAAAAGTTGAGTAGAGATGTCTGTGTCTATGTGTGTTGGTCCTGGGGCTTAAACTCAGGCTTTAGCATTGTCTCTGAGCTTTTGTGCTCAAGGATCACTTTGAGCCACAGCTCTATTTCCAACTTTCTGGTAGTTAATTAAAGGTAAGAGTCTCTTCAACTTTCTTGCCCAGACTGGCTTTGAACTTCGATCCTCAGATCTCAGCCTCCTTTGTAGCTAGGATTATAGGCATGAACCACTGGTAACCCGATAGGATACTTACATATATATATATATATTTTTAAATTTTATTTTATTTGTGAACATACTGTACAGAGGGGTTACAATTACATGGGTGGGATAATGCGTACATTTCTTACCAAGCATTGCAGCCTCCTCTTTTGTTTACCCTTCACATCCCTTCCCAGCCTCCCCCCTACCCCCCATACACTTTAAATGCTGCTTTTACCTTGCTTTTCTCTTATAATTCTACATACTCTTTTGAGACTTAAATTGGTAA